TTTTTGTTACACATAATGAACATGAACCTCATATTCTTCTATATGCTTAGAGTAGATGAAGATGTTGTCTAAATAACAAATGAAAACATTATCAAGAAATTCATGAAAGACATCATTCATTAAATATTGAAAAGTAATTGGCATATTCATGAATCAAAAAGGTATAATATTATATTTGAAATGTTCATACTTGGTTCCATATATAGTTTATTATTATTTTTTTTTAATACGTACCAAATTATATGCTCTTTATAGATCTATTTTTTCATAGATCTTTGTTTAATTCAATTAACCAAAAATTCCTCAAATAAAAGATAAATAATACCTATTATTGATGGTAATCTTGTTGAGCCTTTGATAGTCAATAAACATCTGCAAAGATCCTTATTTTTTCTTCACAAATAAGATAGGAGCCTCAATTGGAGATTTATAATTATGTTTGAAGTTCTTAGCCAAATTTTCATCAATGTATTTGTTGAATGTAGCTAACTCGTTTTATGATAGACTATAGATTAGTTCAAATGGTAGTTGAGCTCTTTCTTAAAAATCAATGGAATAATCATAAAGACAACGCTTTAGAAGAATATCTATATTTTTTTTCAAAAACATCTTAATAATCTTGATATTGACTTAGAATATTACTTAAAATCTTTTCTTCATCAACAATAGATATGGCATATATAACAATAGTTGATCCTTCTTTTGCAGCATGCATGAAAGTTCTTTTACCTACCTATAATAATTTTGATGTATCAATCTTATAGGTTTTTACTTGCCTCATAGAATCTTGAACTAAACTATGGAAAAAATCAAGATTGTGAGAAATCTAATCTATGTGAGGATTATATCTTTTTAATCACAATAATCCTAAAATAATTAGATTTAAAAGAGATTTAATCATATTAATTATTACTAAAATATTATAACCACTAATTGCTACTTTTACAAGAATAATTTCATGTATAACATCTTTAGAAGATAATGAATGACCATCTATAATTTCTACATGTACATGTTTGATTTCCTTAATTAAGGATATAGATTGTTTTTTAATAAAGTCTTTGTCTATAAAATAGGTAAAGGCTCTTAAATCCAACAAGGCTCAAATTTTATGATTTTTTGGTCCTAAAAAAACTTCTATTATAAAACAAACTGAGAGATTAGAGAAGAAAATAAGACCTTTACTATGAATTGTGTAAGATTCAAACCACACAGTTCTTATTGGAGCTAAAGAAACTCGTTTTTTAACACATTGTCCTCTTTGGCAACCATGCTCCTGATTTTATCATTATGTTGCTTCTTTGAATAATGATGAGTAGTTTTCTTGGATTCTCTACAATATAGGCATAAACCTTCTTCTTGACAATTGATTTTTTCTTGCTCAATAAGAGATTTAAAATGTACAATATGAATTTGCATTGGTTTTAGCCTTCATGAATAAGTTTTTAAAAACTTAAGAGCTGCCATCATTACTTGACTTGTTCCTTTCTAATCAAATCTTTGTTTTTGATGTCTTTCAAATAATCAATTATTGCATGCAATGGCTTAAACAATAAATTGTTCTAAAGATATTACTTTCGACATTGTCAATAATAAATCTTTGATGTTGTCCTTCAATCTATATCAAAATTGATTGATAAGGACTTTAACATTTCAATCCATGTTGCAAGCAAGGTTTTGGAATTCAATAGCTCATATGGTAGTTGACTATGGCTCTTATCATAAAGATAAAGGCTTGATCTTTGCTACTTTTTTTTTATCACTTTCTTCAAATGTGGCCATAAATACTTCTATGAATGAATTTAAATCATAAACGAGACATGAATCATTATCCATCAAAGGTGCAAAGTAAAAGAGAGTACTTCCAAATAGAAATGCACTTATGAATTCAACTTAAGTAAATCCATTATGATATTAGAAAGATTAAATCCTTAGATAGAACTTGACTTATTGCAAAAATTCTTGAAAATTTAATCTTATTCCATTAAATTTCTTGAGCATACTAATCATTATTATCGTATACTTGTAGAAGCAAAATTTATTGAATTTGGTTGTGAGGTCAATATACTCGCTTTTTTCAATTGCGCGATTTCTTGACATAGACTTTGAACGTCTTTCATAGGCATAGGATTAGTATTTCCTTGGTTGGCACTCATAATATGTGAAATTTTTATCTTTGGAGTATTGACAAGTTTATAAAGATCTACAATAGTTGCAAATCTATTCTAACTTCCACTAAGTATAGCATTTATAATTTTTCTTTCCATTTCAAACAACTTAAAAAATCTACAAGTCAAATTAGAGGAGGATAATCTGCAACCTCTAATATCAAATAAAAAACTTCATAAAGAAAGAAAATTTTCTTTTTATAAATAAAAAAAATAATATTAAAAAATTAAATAATTTGATTAAAGATAGATAATTCACAACCTTCAAAATTCAATAATAGAAGTAGGATAATTTTATCACTTTTAAAATAAGATAAGAATAATGAGTTAAGTTTCTTGTCAAATTATTAAGGATATGAATCTCAAAAAACTAAAATGTCAATACACTCTTATGTGACTTGAAAAGACTAAAAAAATCACTCAAAGATGATATAATATTAAACTAGATTGGCTATTGTCAAAGACAAGAAGACTAAAAAGTTTTGAAACAAGACTAAAGACTAAAAAGGCATTGATAAGAGTGAAGAAGACTTCACTCTTACTTCTATATATACTCTTAATTAGGAGTTACATTACAATGTCTTAAATAACCTCCAAAACATGTTGACTTTGCAAGACACATATCTTAATTTATAAGGCAAGTTTTTTATATGTACACTACATAGTTATCTTATTTCGCAAACTATTAATATGTGATTAACTTGTTGATCAAATTTCTAACCTATCAATTAACTGCAAATACATGTAAAGTCAAAATAGAGTCTATGAAGCTTCTAGAATGCTTTTTTGAAAAATATTATGAAATAAATCTACTTTTATCTATTGTTACCTACTTTTACCTACTTTTATTTAATCATATGGGTAAATATTAGAATAAATATGTATGTCCATGACATCTATCTTTTATTTCATGCAATATCTCCTAAGTCCAGAAATCAATCATATATTTACATAACTAAATAACTAACATGGATTCATAATCTTTGAGATTATATTCACAAAGTTAATATTCAATACAATCACAAAAAAAATAATATTATCTAAAAATTGTTACAACATAATATTACACACATCAAAATCAAATCAATATTCTTGCCTATATTAATCTATACAACAATAATCCAACAAACTTTTTTATTTTTTACAGAAGTTTTATAATAATAATATTTTTTTCTTTGAGCATCATCAAATCCATCACAAACTTAATTACAAAACAATTAAACATCATAATAAAATATAAAATTACATTAATAGAAATAATTAAACATACTGATAAATTCATATAATTTTTTTATTTAATCTTATTTTTTAAATAAAATTTTCATGCATAATCTCAAAATTAAAAAAATCAACCATGATATTGGAAAGCTTAATAAATGAATTAAATAAATTACAATAACACATACAACATTATTACAACCACAAAAATTAATATGTTAGCAAAAAATTAATATTCCATTATGATGTGCTACATACCAGAATCAAATATTTACCCCCTTCAACAACTCATAGAATAGCAATACAACACACTACTTTTTTCCACAAACTATTTTCTAAAAAACATATTTTTTCTATAATTATAAATCATATAAAATGCCCCAATTTCTTGTTGCAAAACTCCTTGGCATCCTCATAATTCTACAATCCTACAAACATTTGCAATGCATTAAAACTCTTCACAAATTTATTTTACTTAAATTAATCCTAAATGTGGCAAGAAACAGATAACTCCGATGCATAAAAGATCAGCACTCAAGTGAAACACTTACATATCATGTTCATGTCTTCCAAAATTGTGCTGATTTTCAAGACCCCACACCTAGTAACTCCCCCCCCCCACAAGTGACAAACCTTTACCACAAAGCTACAAAAAAAAAGTCCCTATCAAGAAATCCTTGTGCACTCAATTCCACTTCGTGATGCATGCCACAAAACTGCACACCAATCAAGTGCATGCACACCCCACCATAATCTAACCTCCAACCACCACTCAAATTTCACATGTTGTGTCCTCACACACCAACCACCGCAAAGTGCACGTTTGTCAATTGCAATTCTGCACTCCACTCACACGGGCATTCTACTGACACACTTCTTGCCCTATGACTTAATGGGTAGCTCCAAACATAAGGCTTCTATTTGGCCGAGAAGGGAATTCGGGGAATTCGGGAACAGAGCACGGGACGGTGGAAGTGTTTAAGCGAGGGTGGACATGGCCGGGGTTTACAGAAACTAGATAAACAGTGACGCCGTCCTAGAGTTTTTACACCCTGCTGGCCTTTGGAGGATTCAACCGCTCCCGACAGTTGGGTCCCTTGACAACTATGCGACGAATTTGTTCAAATCCTCCTCCCCGCTCCTGCCTCCCCGCTCCTGCCTCGCCTCTACTTCCGTGCCCTTCCTTCAGCTAATTCGGCTGATTCAGAAGGCTAACTCAGAACTCTTAAGGCGACGGCAGACGACAGCTCGACACGGCACAAAAGCCGACGTTGACGACAACGACGAAAGAAAAGGAAAGCAAGCGTCGAAAGCGTAGGCATGAGAGAGAAACGTCAAAGCGAATCCTGCTGCGGGAGCGACCCACGTGAGGTGCTGTTGCGATGGCGTCGGGTAATCACGGGCAAGGAGATCAGCGGTGCAGCGGTGCATGAAAGCAAGAGGGAAGCAGAAGCCAGGACGAGACGAGATGAGCAACGGGAAGTGGAGGAGTGCCGGCTGCAGAGCATCCACGACGACGAGGAGGACTGGAGGAGGAAGACGATGACGAGATCTTAGATGGACCAGGAGGAGGATAAGGATGACGATGACAAAGTGAATAAATACAGGGAACAATGATGTGAAAAGCAACCGAGTGAGACTCACCACAAGCGATGGTAGGCCCACATTTTGACGAGTGCTTGAATAAAATAACAACAGCTATCCGTGAGGTTAACATGTAAAATAGCAACAGCGTTGCCGGAACATCTAAGAGCTCTAACGGTAGCGCTTGAGAGAGAGTGTGTTGTTCCGCTTCCATGTAGCACGAATTGAAGGGCGAGCCTTGGTGTATAAATGACCTCTACCGCGGAGACCACGGTACTTTTTGCCAGCAGAAGTCAGACCACGCAACTCACGGTGCTTGTGGACGGGGTTCACAATCCAGTTGATCCTTGGGTCCTTGCGAATAACTGCATGTTGAGGGTCAACTAGGATAATCTCAAAGTACTTGTAGGTTGAGTCCTGCACAAGCAACCTTCCTGATTCAATTCCACGGTACTGGAGTGCAATACCCGAAACAATGATAAAGCCCTACAACAAATTAAGTGAAATCGCTGGCAGTAAGGGGAGTAAATGGACTATTGAAAGATCTCGTCACAAAATCTCTAAAATAGCACCAGACTGCAACTCAGTAACTTCAACAGGAATCTCTTCACAGTGGCCGAATAAAAAGATCACAGTGTCAGATACAGAACAAAAGTGCTGCAAAAGACCATAAAATCCATATCACACAAAAATAGAACCTTAAACCCTAAACCCTTAACCGAAATGAGTAGCCAGTGCTCAGAATGGGCGGAACCCATGTAAGAGCCAAGATGTTTCAACACACCTGGTTGATCCAGTAAGAGTTGAGAACCCTGAGGCCTCCAAGCTTTCTTCCTGCCCGCTCCTCCGCAACAGAACGCAAGTTGCGCTGGAACTTGAGCTGCGTAATACCTTGGTTCTTGGGCTTTCCATACACAATACCCTTGGCAACTGGCCTCTTCCTGCCTCCACGGCGCACGCGGACGCGATACACAACATAGCCCTAAAATAAGGCCATAAATCATAATGTTAAAAGCTTCGAAGCGGATAACCCACAAATCCTTTCTGAATCAATCCACAATAACTATACTGAACGCCACGTGCAAATAGAAACACCTGACATTCACTTCAACAGAAAAGCTAGAAAATTCTCGATACAGCAATCGGAGTTTGAGGTGAATCCTAAACAGTAGAGTACTAAGCTCATGTTTGCCGAAAAATAACTGAATAGATCTTCAATGTACAAGTACATCGAGGGCGCGTGTAAGTGCATTGAAGACGCGGTACAAAATATAGCTTGTATGATTCACGTAGAGTAGAATGAAAACTCTGAACAAGTGAATTACACCTGCCGAGGGAATGGTTGATGCCTGTAACTGGACTAGAACATGTACATAATCAAACTACCATTGAACCATGATCAAAAATCACGGAATGCAGCTAAATTCAGCAATTATTACTTGACTAATCCCCTCCAACTTTTTAAAATTTAAATATCTCCTGTGAAATGGAAGAACCTACAAGTTCCACAAATCTGGTACAACAGTTACATATGGATCCATGAAAGCACCTGCTTGGCCTTGTAACCCAGACGGCGGGCCTTGTCAGGACGAGAAGGGCGAGTGACGCGGACGATTCCTGGGAGCTGCCTGTACTCCCAGCATCGCACACGCAATAGGAATCGCAGCACATCAGACTGCTTCTTCCTCCATAGCTCTTCAATGTACTTGTACGCGCCTGCAGAACAAGATCATTTGACATAAACATGCATGTAACCACCGTTTCCCAAAACCCTAAATGTCATTCCAATCAACAATCAAAAACACTACCAACAACCGTCACTCCGCCTCGCGTTCGCACGATCACCAATAACACGAAATACACTACCAATCAGCAATACCCGTTGGAAATATCGCAAGCTCCGCCCTAAACCTCAATTGCCGAACCCTGAAAATACACCATTGACCAACAACAAAGCATCGAAGACATGGGAATTATTCATGAAAATCGAAACAGATTGTCAGCGTTCAAGACAACGAATTGCAAGAGGGCAAAATAGCTCGAACCCATGTTGAGGGATGGCGCCAACGCGCAGGGGCAATCGCGCAAACAGAGCAGCAATTCAGCAGAGCACTTGGATCAAAGAGCACAGAGCCGCCTTCGTCAGAAACAAACCCTAATCTCAGTCTATGTATTAGATGTGTACATGAAAAAAATCTATGATATTTTAATATTGATGGTGCATTGTCTTTCCTGCCCTTGGCTCTCGATTTGCTTTAGGCACTAGACAATGCAGATTATCGTTCTAATTGGGTCCAAAATGGTGTGTGAATTTGCATAGCCCACAAAAAGCCACATTTGATTTCTAACTTCACTGGATTTAAATTTCCTGTTTTTTTTTAAAAATATATATATAAAATAAAATAAATCCTATATACATTAGTTAATAGATTGTGTTCTTTTGAATTTTCTTTAAATCAAAATGTTATGTTTACTATAACATTCATATTTTGTCAAATATCAGACATAATCTTTTGTTGGTAGAATTTTGGATTTTAAAGATTCCAGCATGATAAATGTAGGAAGACGATTCTACAAGAATATAAGAACATAAAATCTCTAAAAGTATGATTTTGCAATAAAGATTAAAGAATGATAAACACCTGTAAAATAGATACTACTAGATATTTACTATATGTGCTTATTGCCTATACTACTTGCAGACCCCAAGTTTTGTTTGAATTAATCATATACTTGTATAATTTATCTGATTCTAAAGTTCAATATACAAATGTTCCCAAAAGATAAGAAAATCTTTGTTGAATGCAATGAAAGTAAAATTCAAAACTATGTGACAAATATTGAAATTAGGTTAAGGGGTGGGTTTGGAAGTGAAGGCATCTAAATCAATTCCTTTAACTTACTAAACGTAATTACATTCAATGTATTTTTGTAATCGTGAGTTAACAAAGCAAAAATACCATATTCAAGCAGAACTTTCAGAATTTAGGGCACGATGTCACGCTAACGGTCGCGAGCTCCCGCGAGATCCCGCGAGTTGCCGCAAGTTGTGGCTAGTAAGGCGAACTAGAGACTCTGTGTGAGGCCTTCTTCTGACCGTGGATGTAATCAATGATCCAACGGTTTGAGTTCGGGTTAGGGTTTGGTGCGGAGGAGGGTTTGAATAGGGTGATGCACACCCGTTTGTCCTCCTCTTTGCGCGTGCTCTCCGTCGCCTCTCCTGTGCGAGCTCGCGTTGTAAGCTTCGGCGTTTTAGTTCCGCAATCTCTCATTCAAAATGTCGGTCAGCGAGCTTGCCTGCACCTACGCTTGCCTCATCTTGCACGATGACGGCATTGCTATCACTGTAAGTTTCTCTATCCTCGTTACTCCCCCTTTTGTTTTTTTTTGTTTTTTTTCCAATTAGGGTTTTTCGTTTTTTGTGCTTGAAAATTGTCTATATGGGGTTTCCGTAGTGAGAATACTGATCGAATGGCGAATCCCGTAGGAGCGTCTACGCTTGTGCTGTAGAATCACGGTGATGAAATTTGCAATATAATTGCGTTAAACTTCAGCTGTCGTTCTTGGAACGTGATTACGAGATTGACATGCCGATTGTTTTGTATAAATGCCTTTGACTGGGAATCTGCGATGGATTGTTATTTGTACTAGTCTCTTGTTTCTACTCCTGTTATGTGTACATACCGCAACATTTATTTTTAATTATTTTTTAATTATTTTAAGGTTGGGGCTGGTTGGTAATTCCTAAATATTATGTCCGCGTTTTGAAGTGTTCGGAAGTCATTCGAAGTTGCTTAGCTTTACTTTCCGAGTTTAGTCTTTTGATCACTACTTCTGTATCACCTTTGTTAGGCCGATAAGATTGCGGCTTTGGTGAAGGCTGCCAATGTTCAAGTTGAGGGATACTGGCCTGGGCTTTTTGCCAAGCTTTGCGAGAAGAGGAGTGTTGACGACCTCATTACCAATGTTGGAGGTGGTAAGTGTTCTGATCTTCATGCTACCCGTCTTTACCATCTGGATCGAACTGTAATTAACATGAATTATTTATTAGTGGAGTATACTGTGATCCTGGTATGGTGAAGAATTCACCTGGCTTCTTGTTTCGTCACTAAAACACACTATCCTTGACAACATAATAGGTGGTGGTGGTGCTGTTGCCGTGAGCGCTGCACCTGCTGCTTCTGCTGCAGCTGAGGCTGCTCCCAAAGAGGAGGAGAAGAAGGTACATTCATTGCTAGCTGATTTGACCATAACAGCCCAAAAATCTTACTGAATCTTCTTCATGACAAGCAATTAATTCGAATATTTTGTCGTGGTTGCTAGAATGAGTTTATTCTTTTACATGCTGAATTCGGTGTGTAGCAACTAACTTTTCTTTTTTGTCGAAAAATGAAGGAGGAGCCGAAGGAGGAGAGTGATGACGATATGGGTTTCAGCCTGTTCGATTAGATTTTCTTTATCGGATATGAGAAGCTCTGGTTATGCTACAATCCGGAACTTGTGTGTTACACTTTTTTTGTCGGAGCGCTGTATTTCCTGAGGATGAATACAATGTGTCCTTGTCAAGAACCCCTTTTTTAAATTTTGCACTGGAGTCGATTGATTATTGTTGGACGTGTTTACCGTGCTACCACTCATTGAAGACCAAGTCTTTACTTTCCAATAGTGCTCTTAGGTCCGCAATGTTTCACCACCACATTCTCCAGGAACGTTTTACTAAATTACATTTCTTCCTTTTAAATAATGAGGCTCATTTTCGATTGGTTGATCTTTTCTTCGATGTGTGTCTCCACGATATTATTGCTACGAACTCAAACAACCACGCAGCAGTGAAAATATGCACTATCCCCAATTTAAGAAGGAACCGCCTTAGATTTAAGCACAACACCCTCTGCGCGTTCACCTACGTTGTCACACTACTTATACCCATTGTGACGCAGAGACAGGGCTGGCGGAATCTACATCTGCAGATGCCGAAAAGTCTGCAAGTCACAGGAATGCATAATACAGCTACTACTTTTCTTCTACATGGGTAGAAGCAAAGGTCGATTGAATGGATTTCCTACTGAGACACTGACGCAACCATCCTAGACCAATCGAGGAAAAGGGATGGGATTGGTTTGAAGTCTTGCGATTTGGACTTATGGGTATGTTTCGAAAAGATAAACAATTTTGTCGCTTGTAGCGATCTGAATGATCTAAAGGAGACGTGCTTGTTTGGACACTGTTACTGTAAGAGGTTTTGGTTGTCAAAGTCACTGTCCACTTAAGTTGTACACTTCGATGTACTACAATTTTGTCCCCCGAATCTTTTAAGAAAGCATTGTAATTATTTAGAATTAAGACAACTTCAAATGCTCCTTTCAACGTTCATATCGTCTGGATTTTACAAGTCCTTGGTTTGGACGCAAGACCATTATTACCAGTAAGTGTCTACGATTTGTCTTGTAAAATAACTTCACTTCGAGAGATTCCTGCACTTTTGTTTGTTTGCTTGTTTGCTTTGTTACCTTATTTCGTACCCTTTTTCTCCATTGTTACCTGAAAATAAATAAAACAAAAACATAAAAAAAACATAAAAAACATAAAAACAAACGGAGAGACAGTATATGCAAATAAGAGAGGAAAATCGAACAATGAGTCATGACATTGTTAAGAGATTGTCGTGGGTAAACTAGAACTGCAATTATAAGTGACATGAGAACAAAAAGTGGGCATATCTCAAACTATATTTTTCTAAATGTGCATCAATACAGCCGCATGGGAAACAATGCTCTACACTGTGAAGTATGTCAGAAAGGGGCTTGATTTGCAATGAGCTTCCCTTCGCAATATGATTGTGTGCAAATATCTGAGTACTTATTGATATGTATATTGGTTTCTCTCTTCCGCGGCACTTGATCGTTCAAAGCTAATTGACAGCTCCTGAGCGAAAGAAGGAAGCTAGAGTTGCAAAATATCTGCACCATAGGCTCCCATCATCGATTCTCAGCGCACAAACGATTGCAGAATTGTTTAACAAACGCCGTTGGCCTTGGGGGAAGCATGTTTCTTGCCATGGCCCCCTCTGCTGCGGCTGTGGTGGTGGCCGTTGTGCTTCTTCTTGCATGCAACGTGTTCGAGGATCACGGTGTTGAATGCTTGCGTGGCTTTCACTGCGTCGGGCGTTGTTGGCATCTCCAGGTGCTGCTCTTTGTTCTCTTCCACGACCGCCGCGGTCACAGCCTCGATGAGCTTGGAAGGGCGGGCGTCAAAGTAGGCCAGCACGCGCTTGATGTCGGTCAAGAGACGGTCTGACAAAGATCTGCTAAAATCTTCCCGCACGACGACGCGGAGAAGCGTGACGTGTTGCGCGTCGGCCGCCATCGTGTACGCCGGCACGGTCCAGCCGTAGTGGCGAAGCTGGTGTGAGATCTCATACTCGTTGTGATCGGAGTTGTCCAAAAGGGAGAATGCCACCACGGGGACGCCGACTTCCTTCGACAAGATCTTGAATCGACCAGTGCTCTCAATCGCCTTTGTAAGTATCTTGGCGTTCATGGCGCAGTTCGCCATAATGTTCTTGTATCCTTCGAATCCCAGACGGATGAGCTGATAGTACTGAGCGATGACTTGACTCGCTCCTTTGGAGAAATTCAACGTGAATGTAGGCTGGTCTGCGCCGAGATAATTGACATGAAACACAAGCTCTTCGGGCAAATCCTCCTTGCTCCTCCACACGACCCAGCCAATGCCAGCGTACACTAGACCATACTTGTGCCCGCTCACGTTGATACTCTTCACAAGTGGGAGTCGGAAGTCCCACACAATGTCGGGATAAAGGAAAGGAGCTATGAAGCCTCCACTTGCGGCATCGACGTGAATAGGAACGTGCAACCTGTTCCATTGTCAAACACCATCGATCTTAGTGCTTTGTGACCTGTAGAGGTCGCATATCATGCATCGTCATTGGAAATAAATCTTAGGGGTTCAAGAGGAGCTTTTTACCCTTTCTCCCGGTTCTTCTCCTCCAGCAGATCATTCAGCAGCTGCACGTCTTCGAACTCGCCATTGTATGTGGATCCGAGGATAGCACACACACAAATCGTGTTCTCGTCAACGAGCTCCACTGCTTTGTAGGGATCCATGACGTAATAGTCTTCTTTGAGCTTCACCTCGCGTAGCTCCACTTCGAAATATCTTGCAAACTTCTCCCAGCAGACCTGCACAAACCCTTACGGTTGAGATGGTTAGCGAACTTCTGCCACTTTGCGGAGGATTGACTTCGCCTAGATCGTCGCAAACTGAGGACAATTAGTTAAAGTCCAGGAGACAGTAATCATTTCGCAGCAATCGTACCTGAACATTGGCACCCGTGACCAGATTGGGCTTGTCCCAAGGCTTTCCAGCTGCTTTCCGCTCGTTCTGCCATTTCCTCTTGAATGCGAGACCAGCAAGCATGATTGCTTCTGAGGATCCCACTGTACCAGCTCCGATAGCTTGTTCACCTTCCTCAATAGGTGCATTGAACAAACGAGCCACCATGTTCACGCATCGGTCCTACACGAAAACCATTGTCACTAGTATCAGTCTCGAGGTATCACAGGGTAAACAACAATCCAACTGGTGCAGATCCAAATTACGCCAACGGCGCTTTCTGGCCTTCTTAAAATGCCGCACTTCGAACCAAATTTCGCAAGCACTAAATACACTCTTGGGGTGCAATGCAAGCATAACGACGATCAACAGATGCTCAAAGTCCACGTTACCGAGGATGTCTAAAGGCTCGCACCTGAAGCTCGGTGGTAATTGGGTACTCGTCCATGTCAATGTAGTTCTTGTTGAGCGCAGACATAATGAGCTTATCACACTCAGGCTCCATCCATGTCGTCACGAAGGACGCCAAATTCAAGCGAGGGTTGCCATCCAACATGAGCTCGTCGCTGATGATCTGGTACGCGGCATCCTTGGGTGTTGCCCGCTCGGGAATGGTGAACCTGGATTGAAAAGAACAGTGATAGTTAGCACAATACCGCCAAATGTATCCAACATAGCCCCAAACGAACAAAAGCTTGCAATGTAAGCCTCTCCTCTCCACGATCTGCGAGAGTTGGTGAACTGATGTGAAAGAACTAATCCATGTCGAACCCAGTCTCTACCAAACGATCGGACTGATCAACTGATTCCGCAAATCAAGACATGCGTGTGATATCTCCTGTTTTTCTGAAAAATTGTACGAGGAGAATAGTTTGGGTGTTCAAGGCGATCTAGAGGACTGCGGCCTATCTTTCTGAACCCCTTCCGTCGTGTGATTCTCAAAACATTCAAGCGATCGATGTTAAGAAGAGGGAAAACAAATTTTTGCAAACTCACTTGGGAAGCTCGCACTGGACATATCTGGAAGCAAACATGGAGTCAATGGTGTTGTGACCCCGCGTCTCCTTCATGCTCTTGCACGTAGTGAGCGCCATCTTTGTGCTACTGGATGCTTCCCAACCCTCCCTTTCCTAACTGCACTGCCTACCAATCCACGATGCGACTGAAGAATAGTGATGCTGCAGAGTTTACACCCAGAGTAGCTAGGACACAAATACTTCCACGAGACGGCACACTGCGCTGAGAGGTCACCCTATTAAAGGTGGGGAAACGGAGAGATGGACTTGGGGAACTGTTTGAAGGCAAAGAAACTGCGCAGTCTACTTAAATACCAGCCCTCGCACGAAATAGATTTTTGTACAGGGCGGTTTTTTTTCCCAATTGACGCGGCGCAGTACTGCTCTAACTCCCATCAGACAAACCCCCCGTTAATTCGGGAAATAACTTTGTCTCATCAGCGTGATGTTGCAGTTTCGCCAACCTAGTAAATGGGGATCAAGTGCTTTTCACTACTGAAGTTAGTGTGTGGAAAATACACGACCCACGTTCAAGGAAACTCGTCACTCGTACCCCCAAAATTGTAAGGGATTGGTCATTTCAGAAACATTTTGCGGTGACCATGACGTAGGAAATGTTTAATGTTGTCCTATGTATTCGTTTGTCAACTCGGAGTCTCAGCCCAAGCCATTATTGCTTTCAAAGCTGCAAAACACTGAACTATCAGACAATTTAAGAAAAGAAAAGAAAAGACAAAAAAAAAACTTGGATAACTTTACCCATTCGATCCAATTAAGAGGTATACAGTATAACACGGAATGCAGATTCTAAAAACAAAATTAGATTGGGTGAAAATCGGGTAATCCGGGTTGCCGCAGAGGAAGGACCCAGATCAGGGATGAGAGAGGAAACTACTATCGAGTCAGCAACAACTTGCAAGGTACTTCCGGCTGCTGCTGCATCTCCAGGGGAGGTGGGGGTTGTGTGCAGTCACACTGTGCTGCACAGGCTACAAGAGGTGAGCAGGTGCGCGATCTTCCAAGTCTGGCTCGTCATAATCATGGTGAACGGAGGGTGGCGATGGAGCAGTCGTCACGGTCAGGAGAGTGACCAAGAAATGCAGGAATACAGGAAAATTCGAGCGCATCCTGGAACCGACCTGGGAGGAGCCTCATTTCTTTCGCTTCCGCTTCCGACTGGGTTGGAGGCGACGCCGCGCTCCCCCGATCTGCAACGACGAGGACGACGATGACGATTTAGATGAAGCTTCGAGTTGCCGCGTGAAACCAGATTTCCACCATGGCCTCCATTACACTACACCACACCATCCCACCACAGCGAGCTCTCGACGCTTGAGAAACTCTCACTCGTATCGACTGCTCTCCTTTTACCGACTAAGCGCTTTACGGCTAGTAAGTAAGGAGTAGTGAGCCCATGCTCAACTCATGTTTTTGATAGTCATTTCTCTTTAAACATCCACATATTACCATATTATTCATTTGTATTTTAGGAACAAATGCAATGATATCTATTAGATGCAAAGTAAATTTTCTTTACTTAATTTTGTTGAACTTTTTTTGAGTTCTATATAGGTATTGATATAGTTTGATTTGTTTGAGATGACCTTTTAGCCAAATTTAGTTGTCTAAACTAATTTTTTAATTACATAAAGTGTTGAGGGCAGTATTAGTACCACTTTATATTGTGATGTGTGTCATTGTGTAAAAATTGTTTTTATATTGTGATTTAGTGATAATCAATATTTTTCATAGATTAATAGTACAATATCATTGTCTTGTATAGCCCAATCTTCAAGCTTATTACGTTGTAAATTTGTAACCTTCACAAAGAACATTGTTTATATATCAACTAAAATCAAAAATCCAAATTGCATAATTTTTTTAAGCTAATAGCAATATCATGTCTCTAATTAGAACATTGGCACACTAAGATTACTATGACATGTATTTTTTGTGACCATTGGCTCTCTTAAATAGAATCCTTATAGAAGAGAGGTTAATATAATCTATTGTATTTTGAAAAAGTAAAGATAAGTTTTGGGGCGATTAACTTAACAAACACTACTCTCAATACTTATTTTGCATTAAAAATTGTAGCAATTACTTTTACTAGCTCATTTATTTATAATTTTGGAAATAAACTTATATTTCACAATATATTATAATCACAATACAAATTATGTAAAAATTTAATTATATTTGTCTTTAAATTTTTACTTATATTAATTATTTTCTTCAAATTAAAATTTATTCTATTAACTTTGTCTTATCTACTTTGTATAATATTTAGAATTAAAATTTTAAAAATTAAAGTGATAAATTAACTCAATGCACAATTTAAAATCCAAAATCCAAAATTACCAATGCAAACATAAGAAATTATTTTAAAAAATGCCACAAAGATAAGACAAGGGATTTGGCACTAGATCAAGAATATAAGTAAGATTTAGAGCCACCTAAAAAGCAAAAGAGAGTCTTAATTTAATTAGGATCTATAGAAAAAGTTAGAGCAAGTTTGATAGGCTTTGCCATGATATCACTTTAGAATGTAACATAGTTTTAAATCTATTTGAATATATAGTAAATCAAATTGATTATTAATTGAGTTATCTAATTTGGTTTGACTTTTGCATTTGTACACTCAAAATATGTTGATGATAGATTATATAAAAGTAATATAATATATACATATGTTTATTTATCTATCTATCTTTGTTGATTATGTAGTTATTTTTTTCTTGATGAAAATAAAATATTTAAACATGATAGATTTATTTGTAACATATACTTAATTTTTGGTAAGAAAATATAATCTTATTCATGCATTTATTTTATCTTGAAAGACTATATTCTTTTTGCATATAAATTAAATTTAAATATTATTTTATATAATTAGCAAGGATTGAATTAGGAGATATTTTTTGTATATATTAAAAAATTTGAGTAATTTTATTGCAATATTATGTGTATATATATATATGTATATATATATATATATATATATATATACACATATATACGCAAGTGGTTGAATAACACATATAATATTTAAATTTCAATATGTAATAGAATCTTTTATACAATAGAATTATCTATTTATTTCTTGATTTTAAGAAAACTAAATAGATCATTTTTTAATAATATTTAGGAATGAATAATAATTAAAGTATTATATAATTAAATTTATACATTTAAATACACTTAATTCTAAAAAAATATTTACAATAAGAAAACACTTACATATGAGCTTTCTTTTAGTTTTGGATTATAAGATGTGGTTTTCTTTTAATTTACCTATACCTTAAAGCTAACCAAAGTATCTATGTTGTTTAAGCTTCCTATAAAATAAAAAAATCCAAAATTTTAGTTTTAAAATAAAAAAAAAACTTTATAGAGTAATTAAATTCTTGCACTATAAATATAAAAATTAAAAAATTAAAATTGAGAAATTAGTATTTTATTTTTTTATTTTGTAGAATTTTTTATAATGATAATCTTTAATATATTCTATTAATATAAAAAAGAAAAGAAAAACATAAATATCATTGAAAGTGCTTCAAATCTATAAATTTTTCTTATTTTTTAAATTTTTAATCCTTTTGAAAGATCCATGTTACAATGACTACTTAACGTTCAATTTTTTTTTACTTAAGAACAAAGAAAAAAGAAAAAAGAAGTATATATATCTATATATATATATATATATATTATTATATCTAAACCAATCTATTTATCTAGCTATATGTATATATATATATATATATATATATATATATCTATAGGAGAATATTAAATAGACACATGCTTTTACTAAACCAACCCACTCTTGATGAAGGATATAATAATCATGATGAATGTGGTTGATTTTTATTGGTTGCAATTCCAATTGTGGAGAAATGAATCTTGAGGTTATTTTTGTTTTTAATTTTATTCATGATGGTTACAATAGGTGGGTCCATTTAGTAAAAACTTGAGTCTATTTATAATTTTATGCATAAAAAATATATATATATATACATATATATATATAATACATGTTATTTTCTAATAACCAAATTAATACAATGCCGTTACTATTTTAAGCAAACAAAAGGATGAGAGATAAACACGCGTATTATTATTCCAGTCTCACTGACCCTCCACTGCAACAACAACAAACCAGCATCATCATCATCAGTTACACACCAACAACAACTCAGTTCGGTAGAAAAATGGCGGCAGCGTGACGCCCTCGACGAGATGATCGGATCAGATCCAGGGCTCAGGAAGAAAGGGGGGGAAATTGGACTGTGTTGTTGCATGAGAGGCTACTTTCGGTATTGTTTGCAAATGCGCTCAGAAGTGGTTTTGCTCAGAGCTGGGCAGAGGAGGGGGGTGCAGCAGCAGCCAGCCGATTGCAGGGAAGTAACTTGGAGGAGGTGGTGAAGCTGCTGCAGCAGCGATGGCATCACGCAGCGCAAGCAACGCATGGGAGTTCCTTAAAGCAGGAAAATCCATGAAAGTGCATCACAACGTGGGCATTGACTGAGTTGAGTGAGTGGTTGACTGGCAAGTTGACGTGATTAATTGTGCTCATGAGCTCACAGCTCTGATGTCTGAACGGGTTCAGAGCCCTGCTCCATCTCTCAAGCTCAGATGGCTCTGATCCCCTATTCCCCGGGAAAAAACACACCCAAACACCAACACAGGCTGTTTTTGTCGTCGTCGGAACAGACGTGGGAACAGTGTTGACTTCGTAGGCTGGATTCATAGCTACTGTTCGTGTGGCTCACTCGAATACCACAGTTGCCAAAGCTTCTTTTTGTCTGTTTTTTTTTCGTAATATCAATGTGAACGGATAACACTATCTTCTACGACGTATACTATTTTAGGTTCATTTTTTAATTTAATTTTAATTTTTTTAAAGGTTTGATCATTCTGGTTGTAATGAGTGTTTTTCCATTCAGTTGTCTGAAGTTCTGTTAGCTAGATATTCTTACATATTCTTGGCCAAGACTTTGTGACCCTTCATGTGTTTTTAAAACTATTGAATTTCAGTGTTTCAATCATCTTCGATTTTCTTTTGATGCTGACCTTGTACCGTGTTATTGTCGTTATATAGCATAATACTTTCACGGATCTGTTTTAGAGAAAAATGAATCTTTAGATATTTAGCGGCTCAATGACATTTTATTTATTTACTTAAAAAATAAAATATAGACTGTTTTTTTCAAAAAGCTGTCAGTATGGCATGATTCTTACACAAAGAATATGATGTTTTAGGATAGTAAACCATAGGCACAACTCGAGTACTGTTTTTCACAAGTAGAGCCAACATACTTTCTACTCAATTGGAGATTCTTCAGTCTGAACCTTGACATTCGAATCAGTATTGATATATTTGATGTTTATGCTTCAATTACACGTTTTTGCATATATTCACTATTATTTAAAAAAAAAAACCTTTGCACAAATTATAATCGTGGTTTAAATTGAGTGATCTGTATATATACACATTGTATATGTATGTATATGAATGAGAGAGTGCTACATCGATGTAGCACTGACATCATAAAATTATGTGTATATTTTATAAAATAATTAAATAACGAGTGTAAAATAAAATCAATGTTTTCATTTTTCTAACAATTTTTTTGAGTGGTGTTCAATTTAAAAATATATATAAAATGAGATTTGCAAGATTAATATTAAAAAGTAAGATTTTATAGTTTAAATGAGAAATCAAGTGATTTTTTTTATAATTAAAATTTAATTTCTTTTGCTGTTGCATATCCTAAGAATTATTCCTCATCAAACTCAAGGTTGACACAATGGTGATTGATACTATCAAGCAACCACCACAAATTCAATTCAAACAAATTTTAAAAAACAAAAACTCTCTTTCCACAACAATGTTAGAATCTGAACTTTGCAGTGAGCAACACCTTTGGGATATCAAAGATTCAATCATAGATGAACTTTTGAAGATGTCCATGGCATATTAATCAAAAAACTATTAGGGTTCAGGGGTCAAAAGTAGTATAAATCCAGAATCTTGCACAATGCTTTTTTGACTACTGGGACCTTATTCTATAAGACTTGAATTGCAGGATGTGCTCTAAACTTTGAATTTATTCTTTCACACATGGGCCATAAATCCTTGCGACTCCCACAATAATTTTACCCATAAGAAGCATCCTTAATCCAAAGGTTTGGTGTATCCCTGGCTGGTTGAGAACTAAGTATTTTTGTAAGAATTTTCTATGGAAGCACATTAACATTCTATGCTAGTTTATATAATGAGTTCAAAACCATTGGTACACCAAGTTTAGGGTTAGGTGAAGTTTGCAAGGCACTTTGTGGAATGATTTGCTAATGTTATAATTTTGATGATGAAGGTTTTGCAGATTTGTATGCATTTTGTAGAGTTTTCCTAGTGCTTGACAGCTTTTGTTTTGTTATCTTTCTCACCCTAGAGATTTCTTTGGTGTTTGACAAATGTAAAAATATTTTGTTCAAAGAACAGAATTGTAACATTATTTTATTTTATTTTATTTTTTAAAAATTATTGCAAGATCAACCTCTTTTACAGGTCATGTTTGGTTTCTTTGGTGGGCACTTCAGTTATTCTCAGCTAGCACTTCTAGAGTCCCCTCGCAACTTATGCTCCAGGTTAATACTTTCACTAACTAACCTTGATTTAAAATATAGTTTTAATTAATGGTCCAACATTCTTCACACATGATTCCTGCATAACATGATTTTGGGTGAATCTGTGTAATGGGAACTCTAATATTTATGGGCCTCAACAATTCTAATTTGTGTTTAAAATATTCTCAATACATTTGAGGTATTTAATATTTTAAAATATAGAATCTTTATAATTTTTTTTAAAAAAATCATTAAATTTTCTGTTATTATTTTTATTAATAAATATTGATTGATTATATAAATAGCTTGCTAAGGTATATTCATTTATTAATTTTGAATTATAATGTCTTATTTGTATTGAGGTCATGTTCTAAATAACTAAATGATATATATATATATATATATATATATACATATATTTACACATTTTTCATAGAACTAAAATTCTAATGTGTGTAGAATAAAATGTACGAAATTATTACTATGATAAAAGAATCCTAACTAAGATATGTAATTACATTAAAATATTTGATTTCTTGTTATAATATTATAAAGAAATATTCTATTTAAACTTTAACATTATTGATAATAAACAACAACTAATAAATGTCGTATAGGAATTATATATTGTATAGGGTCCAATTATTTTAGATCTCTAAAAATATTTAATTAATCCATTTAAATATCATCTTTGATTATTCTATATTTTTAGATAGAATTCTTAAAAATCTTCCTTGTTATATTATTCTACAATCCAAATTATATTCTTAATTACAAAGTTGTTCAAGAAGGAAGTGAATTTTATGATTCTTAAAATAATTTTCCTATATTGTAGTCCCCTATAATTTCATTTGTATTATAGGAGAGGTTGCAAGATCTCAAATATATTCAAAAGTTGCTTATTGAAGGTGATTTTTTGGTACAAGACCATTGTCACAAGACCATTGTCAAACACCTCAAGTCTTGCCATATGTAATCCAAGGAGGTCCCTTATAACAACACTTGAAAATTCTACGAAATATCTATGAATATTTTATGAGGCACTTTAAAGTCTTCATTGAAGAATGTTTCATAATTGCTTTGAAAGCAACTTGGGAGATAGGATACAAATTTGAAGAAGTACCTTAAAAGTAACATTAACACTTAGGTAAGATTGTGTTGGAAATAGTACAAAATAGAATCATCTTTATGACTTTAAATTTGAATGTACTAGTTATTGTATATATAATTGTACTATTCTTGTGTGTGTGTGTGTGTAAATATATATATATATTTGATTGATGCAATATAAGAGCTTCATAAATGCCAGTAGAATTTGACATAATTGTTGTAGCATGTAAAACAATTGTTTGTTACAAATTGTATTTGATCATATAAATTACATTTTGGCTTCAAAGTTTCAATTAAATATTTGGTACAGAAGATATTTTGCAATAGTATCTTACTGTATTGAATCTATACGAATTCTTAAGAGATACCAAAATATTATAAACTTTTATTTGATAGATCATTGATTTTTTTGTACATGATACAAATTGATTAAAGAAGTAAATAAAATTTGTTAGACATTGAACACCAGGTATGAAACTATGTTCACATCATTCATAGTTTAAAGGCAATGTAAATTTATAATACATTCATAATAAATTTAGATGATATGTGTATATAGGTTTATACATATATATATATATATATATATATATATACATATACATATTGTTTTTTTTAAACAAAAAGAGCTTTATTCTATTAAAAATATTATATTTCGATCAAAATATGATTGCTACATGCTAATGAAAAATTAACAATACATTGTAATAATTGTTGTGGTCATTTAAAAATGGTAAAAGTGATTAATAGTAGTTAAGAAAATTTCTACATAACACTCAAAAACCTATTTAGTACACATGACAACATAAAAATATTTGATTTCAAATTTAGAAAATTAAATTTAGCATCAACTTTTATACTTCATGTACTAATCCTTACAGAAAGCAATAAAGAAAAAAGAATACACCATGTATGAATACAACAACAGGATTTATATAACTCAAAATTAGTCACTTTTCTAAAAAGTAATAGGAATATTAAATAATATCGTCATACTAAAAAAATACGATTTCAAAATCGTTCACACCTGCTTCGTCGGTTTTGTTTGTACTAAGTGAAACTCATAATTGCTAATATGCTAATACTAACAATAATAATCGCTAGCAATATGCTTCCTAATCCCTGCAATGACAATTCAAACCACTCTGCAACATGTCAGACATCGACAAAGAATAGCGAAATATAAATCCAAATCACTGCTTCTGGTTCTGAACCCAATCATATTGGCAGCCTGAGCTTGATGCCTCAAAGTAAATTGATGTCGGTGTTCCTAGTGACAAGCGGAATCAGCAAAAACTTTGAAGCTCACCAAACAGGAACTTGCAGCTTCCCCAGGTCAAATTGCTTTCACACATTATTTGCTGCTGCAATACTATCATCTCACTCAATAACAAATTCAAAGAAAAGGACTAACTTCCGTGTGAGAACTAAGAATTAATGCTCTAGAGCACAGAATAAAACATAGTGAAACACATCAAATGTCTTTGTTGAAGAGACATGCATGATTATTATTTTTAATTTTACGTAGCCTCGCCAGCTAAGTTACAAAGATAAATGAAAGTGATTCTAGTAAGCAACCAAACCAATTTTGAGTGTTATCTACATAAATACAAGCGCATAACTGGAAAATTCTATACCACACAAATCTGACTATTCATGCGTCAAAGCACCCCTTCGCACATTTGCATAGGTCTTCAATGAGTTCTGGTGAGGCGCTCGTGTGGTAATGCAATAAGAGGACCCTCATCCACGTGGAAAAGCATAGCCATCGTTTCCGTCCACCCTTTAGCCTTCTGGGGACAAATTCTACTCTGGCAGAAACCAGTCTTGCAGCACAGTGCCTGAGAATCGAGTATCTTGTCGATATTGGCGAGAACGAATGGGCCATACTGTGCCACAAGCAACTTGCACTGCACACCAGAAGGTCAGCAAAATCAGAGGATGTATTTAACAAAAGCTAGTTATATCAAAAGCGCCCACTTCAATGTTAGACGAAGTCGGGGATAAATGAAAACAAGAGGTAGAACGACTTCAACACTTAAAAATCGTGGTCCAGCACTGATACAGACACAAATAAGAGAGGAAGTAGACAAACAAACCTCGTCAACGTGGTTGACGACACGGTTGCAACTATTCATGAACGCCTCCAGCACCTTCTCCTACAATATTACAACATTCAATACTAGGTTAACTCCAGAGCTTCAACCGGTACATTCATACAAGTTTGTGAGGGGAAGTTCAATAAAATTGACTTATAATAATCCATCTGACTACTCTGACATGAAGCAAACATTAAGCAGGTAAAACTATTTACAAATATAACACAAAGCATGGGAACAACAAACGCGGGTCAATAAGCTATAGAATATTAGCACAATTAACATAAAATTCTTTATTTCCAGTGAATACCTGGGTCTTTGGGTCCTCCAATTTTATCTTGATCTCCAAGATAGCAAACTGGCAAGTGGCACAGTCGTTACCAGCCGAGACCATTCTTGATGGCTTGCACATCTTGGTCATCTGACAGAATTCCTGAGGTGTGATGTTCTCAAGCTGCTCCATCATTCGTGCGGAGTACAAATCCACCAATAGATCACACTGAACACAAAATAAAACCATCAGCTCACCGGAAGACAGTTGCTATTCTACGAAAAAAAAAATATTGCTACGAACATTATGCTACTTTTGCTAATCTCTATTATAGTCTTTTAGTACCCAATCCAGATTTTCCGTGAAAATGGCTATGGTTCTTGGAAAGTTAAGGATTGGGGTCCTCCGAGCTGAGCCTCCACAAAGAATTACAGTAGAAAGAGTAGAAACAGGACCATTGATTGTGATATATAACCAGTAAAGGGACAAGTGAACGAATGAGCTTGGTTCACGTACCGACTTGCTTAGCTCCCTCAGCTGTGAACACCCAAGGTGAAGAGCAATGACGATTTCCTCACGAGTTTTGTTATTTTCCAAGTAGGTCAAAGCGTCAGTGGCCAGATCTTGGCAAACTGTGCACTTCTTCTTCTCATCTTGGAAAGCCTTGATAGCAGGGGGCATGCAGACGCCCGACTCGTAGCAAAGTTTTTCTGGTCCGAGCAGTGTTTCCAGCTCCAAGATCGCTTGCGGTACATATTCAGCCACCATCTTTTCACACTGCCAAACATTGCCATCATACACAGTATACAGTCAAAACATCAATAATCCCAAGATGTAAAAGAAAAATGAAAAGAAAAAGAAAAATACTATAATGGTACACACTCACTCTCCATCATAATCTCACTTTATTAATCCCCACGTCAGGTCAACTGCTGTCAGAACTTGAACCAATCCTGAATAATTAAGGAATACAAAACACACGATAAAATGGAAAAATTCTAATGATCGAACATTTACACTTCGTTACTTTTACCATGACTAGTACAAAATGACCGCATTCCTGCTCTATATTTAAAACACGCAATCGCTATCAAGGGAGAAATTTTCTAACCTTCTTCTTTAGCCCAGGTTGAAGAGAGTGGCAAACGAACTCATCCGCCTTGTCGATGACCTGCTTGGGCGTATCTGGGTTAGCCAGCACCGTTAATGCTTCTTGCGAGAGCTGAAGGCATGTGTCGCACAAATTAATCCTCGACACAAATGCGTTCTGTCTGATCAGCTTTCCTCTCCTTGCAACAGTACCTTCACACCAGAGCAGAAAAAGAAGGGGGGTTGGTCAGAAACCTAGCTTATACTGCAAAATTACTACTCGGACGGAATTCTATCAACTTGTAAACTGAAATTACAAGAACGACAAATCCATACTATAAGTGAAGACAATCAACCTCTCCGCTAATTCAATGGTGAAGGTAAGAAAAGATGCTTTCACTTCAAACTCTGTGCTAAACGTCCGAAATGGGGTGAAACCCTAGTGCATGAGGTACCAGAAACAAAACTAGGAAAACCATATTGCATTGCAGCAGCATCATGAACGATAATTGAAGAAGGGTAAACTATTCGATCCATCGTACCAAAATTCACACGCGAACCCTCCGCGACGCAAATCATACACACCACCAGCATCGCAACTCCCCATACCAAGTTCCGGACCGCCATGGCGTCTGAATCCACCCGATTTTTCCAAATCCGACCCCAACTTCACCTGCAACAATCCACAACACCCTTAAAATCACCTCTTCGCACCAAGCAAAAGCCACCGGTGCAAGAACAACACGAGCACCGACCAAACCCAACCAGAATTCGAATCCTTCAAACACAAAACCCCACGATCGACACAATTCCAGCAACTACGGAAACGCACAAACGAACCAGCCCTAAAGTCCGTTAGAAAACTCAAAACGCGGAGCAACCCAACGCAAACCCTTGGCGGGGGTAATTCAGAATCTAACTACAAAACTGGGGGGAAGCAGACCTTGGCAATTCGAGCACGGAAACTCGCACGAAAGGGACGAGTTCGCAAACAAAAGCAGATTAAATCGGTGTGCGACAGCGGCGGTGGCAGGAAGAGTAGCTGAGAGAGGAAAGAAAGCACCGCGACGAGATTGGTGTTAATTCGCTGCAACAATTCAAGGATGTTTTGTGGGGAATACGTACAAATCCCACTCTGCTCTGGTGGATTGTACTCGATTTTTGTTGCGATTCCTGCGGGGTCCGTCCCTTGATCGCGACGCCAGCGCTGCGGGTGCCACCGGCACGGCCACGTCCTCGTCCTCGCCACGCTCTGCGTCACGACACGCCCACCGCCTCAGCCACCGCCATCCCCGCGCTCGGAAACCCTAATTTCTTGTTTAGTCTGATATTCTTTCCTTCCTTAATTGTCGATTATATGGGCATTTCTCTACATGGAGGTGGGGAGAGGATCTAGCTTAAGTTTTTTGTGGTGTTTTTCTTGATTTTTTTAAAATTAGAGAAAGCTTTGGATTTTTATTTTTATTTTTATTATTGTTTTACTTGCAAGCAAATCTTAAATTGGAATATAAGAAAGTAGATTAGATTTTGGTGTTTGTAGGTAGGTATACATGTGTACATACAGTTATTCGTTTTATTCTACTGCATCTTTTTTCTAAAGATTAAGAAGATGGTTGTTGTTTTCTTATCTTATAACTAAAAATAAATCACATTCAAGTATAGGTCCTTGTGATTAGAAGAGCAAATATATTGGACAATTCAAAAGTGATGGATTTGGATTTAGATGATGATTATTTTATTGAAAGGAGGATCTTATTTCAGAGTAAAAGCTTATATTTATAATGGATATATATATATATATATATATATATATATATAATCAAAAAATTAAAGTAATATATTATGCTTGTATATAGGTTTTAAAATATCATGTTTAAATTTTCAACTATCAACTTAATCATATTCTATCAAAATATTACATATTGAGTGAATAATTCTAAAAAATTTGAAATTAATTCATCAAAGTATTGGTGAATCACTGACAGTTTCTTCACTCTTAAGTCTAATGAGCTCCAATTAACAATCTTCCAAATTAGTAACTACTTTGTCTCAAATACCTAAATTAGCCAAAAGAATTATTATTAATGCTTCTAAGTTCAAATAAGTTTTTTGGGACCTTTTTGTCTTATGTCAAGGTATTTTATGAAATTACAAGACAATAGTAAGACTAATTATCCATGAATGAATAAGCTCCAATGTCCATTGCTTTATTCAATATTCTCTTGCTATAAGTGTATTTGGTCATTTTTAAAATACATTGTTGTCTATTATTCAACCATAAAAGTTTCACAGTTACAATCAACCTACAGATTAATAGAGGATGAGGTGTATCTTAATAATATAGAAAAGCAATGTCTCTCATAAGGCCAACATAATACAAAGATTTTAAAAAATACATATGTATAGGAATTGAAATATAGCTTTGGTCATTTCTTTGTAAGACCATAATATGTGTAAGTATTTGGGTCATCCTTTAAAATTGTGTGTGGAGTAATTTGAGCTCTAAAGTTGGAAGGTACACTATGGATGTGGTTCCTTAGCTAATGAGTTGTTGACTAAAATCCTTTCTAAAGCATTGATAGAGTACTTGGAACTAGACATGTGATTTTAAAGTAGATACACTCATGGTAACAAATTTAATCTAATATGCCTTTAGCATATATTGCATCTCTTTATATCATTGACTTCTAAAGTTCAATATACTTTGCAATACCTTATTAGATAAATCTTTGTTTTGTCAAATATTTGCCTTATTGTATAAGTTCTTTGTCTTGATTATTTTTTGGAGATTTAATAAGGACATTACCTTATATTAATTAAAGAAAGACAAGAACAAGTACACAGTTAGGAGACTTAGAAATATTATTGTTATTTTTTCTCCACATCTTAATTGCTAAATTAAGTAATATCCATGATTAATCCATTGGTTGTTTTTAAAAAATAATAAAGACATAGACATCCATGACATTGGTGTGCCAATAAAGAGAACATTAAAAAAAATCTTAGTAAAAAAAATATTACAAAATTAATAAAAATAAGTAATTTACATAATTAAAATTATCAAACAAACCTTATAATACATAACTGGTTAATCTTTATATTTGTCTTCCTTCTTAACATAAAACTTAAAGAGATGCATATCTCCTAGTCTACTAAGCTTATTTGCACCATCATATTGGTAGTTCAAAAGAAACTTCTCAAAATCAGCAATCTCTTATATAAGCTTGAAAATAAATGAAGTCATTTTTTTGGAGTCTATAAAAGCCTTCATTAAATCCATGTGAACATAAGTGATCTTCAACTTCAATAGCTTAGATAGATAGTTGAAGTACATGTCTATATTATTGTTAGTGTAGCAAACTATTAAGAATTTAGTTGTCACTTCTTTAAAGTTTTTATAATTCATAGCAACAAATACAAAGCGATGATATAGAAATTATTATTATCTTTGGCAAAGTTGTCAAGTTGAAATAATATCTATTTTAGCAAGAAACAACTAGTCTTTTAAGAAGCAACTAATGAACCTTAGTACTAGAGGTTGTATGAATAGAAGTTGCACATATAGAAGAGTGTGTTAAAGAAATTTTTTTGTAGGGATATTATAACAAATTATATTAAACCTTTCATGAGTGGTTTTTCTAAAACTCTTAGAACTTAGTAGATAAATGTAGTAAAATTTAAATTCCAAACTAGAATATTATGGAATAGTAAACTTAGGCATTAGTACTACATCTATGCATGAGCATATTTGTCATTGAGATGATAATTTGTCCAAGTCTAGACATTGTGATTGTATTCTATTATATTTGTAGAATTGTAGATTTTTTATAATCCATCTTGTTATAAATAATATATAAAAGCTTTATTAGCAATAGAAATAAAAATAAATATTTTGATAATTGACATGTCTCTTTTTGTTCTTGATTAGAGTGGCCTATTTTTTAAGTATATCTTATAAATAGAGTATGTTTTAAATTTTTAGCACAATACCTTAAAGTATGTCTTATTTATAAGAAGTAATTTGAGTGCCATAGTCATTATCTTGTATCTACTAATTAGTACATGACATGCTACATAATACACATGAATGTCAAAGTTTTGGTGGCTTTTGAATATGGATCAATAGTGAACGACATGGAAGAGTGAAAAATCTCATTGATTAAGAAGTTGAGCTAGTATAGTATTGCCATATAGCTATAGTGCCAATTGTGAAGAATTGCAAGTGTTATAATGAGAGCCTTCATTTAAGTGTTCCAAATTGGTTTTAAGTACAACTTGGAGATTAGATCTTAGAATAGTATTATAATAGGGACATCATGACCTAGTCTTGTGGTGGCAATGAGTTGTAATGTTGTCGTAGTACTAAATATTATATTACTTAGTATCACCATAATAGCTATTTTAAAGTAGTATATTTAATTTTACCTTTTCTTTTTTTTTAAAGAGAGGCAAACTCAACTTGCCTTTAATCTTAATTGGGCCTAAGATCATCGTGATGAAAAATTTGCTCCTTTATTACTACTTCTACCATCAGTTTGACTTTATCTTTTACTTTGTCTTTTCTTTGCATTGTAAAAAACCTTCTTTTTAGTCTTTTTAATAGACTTTAGGTGGATATTGGAATTCAAAAACTGGCATACCTAAAATATTTTAGGTACAAAAATTGTAAAAATAAAGATATAATTGGAGAAGAAAATTTAGCTAAGGTGGATAGTTATAATAGATGCATCTTTTTTAATCAATTTAAAAATAAAAAAATCAACAAATCAAGTTAGAGACAAGGAAGAAAATGAACCACAAATTTTAATTTTTTTTTCTGTACTTTACAAAATCAATCAACAAGAAAAGAAACTTATGCATCTTTTGGAAATTTTAATCTCACAATTGACACATTTAAAATTACCTTTTTATTAGAATTATTGACAATGGTATATTTATTGATTTTACTTATTCATATATATTTAATTTTTATCTTTGTCTTATATTACTTTAATTTTCTATATTTATTTTATTTTATTATAATATTCTTTATAATATATTTATAATTCAAGCTCTTATCTCTAATATAAAATTTAATAGATAATCTAATCTATTCATATTATGTATAAATTCTATTTTTTTAAATACTTCTAAAATATTTAATATTTATTAATTTCTTATTATTTTTAAAGTTTTGTTTCATATTTTTAATATAATGCTTGTGCATCCTTTTCATCTTATTAAGTTTTTAAATTTATTATATGTGATCTTGTATCAAATTAATAAATATAATAGATGATATATTAATTAAATAAAAAATTAAAATTTAAACCATTATAATCTTTCTTTAAAATCGTATGTAACAAAAATCTTTGAAGTCTTGAAAATCTAAAAAAATCTTTGTTTAATTTTTTTTTGGCTTTTTTTCAAATTATTATAATTTATTTTATGATTTGAATAAATAATTAAAAATTGACAAATCCACTTCTGTCTTTGCTTCTTATTCTTATATAGGCAAAACTATCATCGAAAACCTTTGTATCTATTTGTGTATAACTTTCTAAATACAATTGGATATATAGATATATCTAATATAAAGAATTATTTTATAAATAATACTTCAAATCGATACTTTAATATTTGAAAAAGTTCTATATAAATTTATCTTTGAATTTATTTTATAATTTTATCATCTATCTATATTTAATAATATAGACTATTTTCTTTATTATGTATCTAATTATGCTAAGATATTGCCTAAGTAGGTTATATAGAAGATGGACTATTTTATTTTTCACCCTTAAAAATTTATATATATTTTTTGGTCTTTAGTTATTCAAAATAATATTAGTGTTTTACATAGTTTCTTTATTCAATTTAGATCTTTAAAATTGAGTTATTCTTGAATAAAGACTTAGGTCCAAAATTGCTCCAAAATTTTATTGGATTGAATTTAGGTAAATTTAGATATATACTAAATACTATTGTTACTATAAATTGGATTTCTATAAGGTAGATAGAATAGATAGAACTTAGGTAAGTGATTATTCAACGATGGTTTTGAAATTGGTCATTATCTAGTTAAAGATAATATGTGGCTAATGACTATAGCCATAACTTTAATATAATCTTAAAAGCTTGGTTAGGTTTATTCAAAGTTTTGGAATAATAATAGAAGCCAAATGT